CTGACTTTTTTAAAAAGTACATAAAAAAGATAGTTGAGCCCTGGCCAGTGTGGCTCCGTTAGATGAGCATCGCCCTGTGCACTAAGAGGTTGCTAGTTTGATTCCTGGTCAGGGCACATGCCCGGGGTTGTGGGGGTTGTGGGCTTCAACCCCAGTAGGGGGTGTTCAAGAGGCAGCTGATCAGTGGTTCTCTCTCATTCATTCTCATTCTCATTCTCATTCTCTCCTTTAAAAAAATCTATAAAAAAAAAACATACTTAAAAAAATAGTTGATAGACAAGGGCCTCATTTTCTAAGAAACGTAAGTAGCAAGCCAAAGCTCTTCAGCGTGGTTGTTAAACCTAGACCCTTGAGGAGGCCTCCTTGGATTTCAGTCCCAGCTCCAAACACCTTTTTAAAATATATTTTTATTAATTTCAGGGAGGAAGGAAGAGGGAGAGAAAGATAGAAACATCAGTGATGAGAGAAAATCACTGATTGGCTGGCTCCTGCATGCTCCCCACTGGGGATTGAACCCACATCCTGGGCATGTGCCCTTGACTGGAATGGAACCTGGGATCCTTGAGTGCGCAGGTCAACGCTCTATCCATTGAGCCAAACTGGCTAGGGCTTAATCTCTTAAAGCTTCAATTTCCTCATCTATGTAAAAGTAGGTGATAATAGTTCCTATGCATAAGATGATGTAGAGGTTAAATGAGATAACACATTTCAAAACATTTAGCACAGTGCTGGTCACATGCTAAGCACTCAAGACATGTTAGTTATTATTTAATAATTTTATATATCCTCAATAAAGGACTCAGTTAAAAAAAACAGGGCATGGAACTGACCTTCATTCCTAAATATCATATGCGGGAAATGCACAGAGAATTCAGTGTTCTAATCTATACTAGAGTAGAATAAATTCACAGTTAATTAATCAAAATCAAAATAGATATTGCATAACTATGTATAATTTAAGATTCCAAAATAATTGAGTCATTTCTTTATTTTTCATTTATTCAATGAATAGCAGAATCAGAGCATGCTTAGGTAGGTCACTGTGACTTTTTTTTTTTTAATATGTTTTTATTGATTTCAGAGAGGAAGGGAGAGAGAGAGAGAAAAAAAAATCAATGATGAGAGAGAATCATTGATCAGCTGCCTCCTGCACGACCCCTACTGGGGACTGAGCCTGCAACCCAGGCATGTGCCGTTGACTGGAATCGAACTCGGGACCCTTCAGTCCGCAGGCCGATGCTCTATCCACTGAGCCATACCAGCTAGGGCACTGTGCCTTTTAATTAATAGTTGAACATATATTGAGTTTATTCCCACCTAAAGATGAACAATGCTGATACCAGTAAGTCCCTAATTCATTGCATAGCTTGTTCAATTAGAATTGTTCATTTTTTACAAATAAGTATAGTAGACATTCAGTAAATCATTCTGTATAAATCTAAATGCCTCAAAGATGAAGGCCCAGGGAATAAGGGGGCAGAACTGACATTTCTTTATTTTGATGAATTTGATTTAAAGACAACCTTTCAGTGATCGAAACTAAAAAATTAACACTTTCTAAAAAAAATTGCTTCGTTTAAGATTAAATTTTGAATTGGATTCCTCGATATTCTAAGATACTATAAGGTATTGATGGTGAGGAGGAATGAGAAACCCAGTGGAGTGGGCACAAATATTAACACTGGCCAGCAGTACCACGCAAAGGAGTACAGTGCTCCAACTTTTTATATTTAATGAAAATCTATACATTAGCTCAACAAAAGGAAAGGATAAGATTAAGATTTGTACTGTCCATGGAAAAATAGAGGAACAGGACTTTTTATTTTATTACTATGTGTTTTTCAAAGTAATAGAAGCAAAACTTAAAGTTATACAAGCTTGCTTATCTCTGTTAAGATATTTAGTATTAATTTTGCCTGCCAGCTCTGTGGGGTGGGGCTGGAGTCTCAGAAAAGGAACAGTGGCCTCCGCCAGCACTTATGTCTGGCAGAAAGCTGCCCTACTCGCCCAACTCTTGCCATGATGCCAGACAATTCAGCTCTTCCCCTGGTGTCCCTGGTGATTTCCAAGCTGCTATCCTAGTGCCAGAGGTCAGAGGGAGTGAGTCAGAATTGTTCTGTGCTCAGGCACTTGAAGATGAATTGCCCGGGCTCCACCAGCCTTATGTCTCACTCAGCCTCAATTTCTGCTGGTATTTACAGCCAGAAGTTATGGGGACTTCCCTTCTTGGCTCTGGAACCCTGGGCTGGGATGCCTGGTGTGAGGCTGAGGTCACTAGCTCCTCAGGGGCACCTCTTGATTTTTATCCACCACACATGGGTGTGGGACCAGCTGGTTCCATGTCTCTGCCCCTCCTGTCAGTCTCCACGTGGCTTCTTGTTTATGGTCTTAGCTGTACGACATCCTTTCAGGTAGATTTCAGGCGGTTCTGAATACTGGGTGTTCAGTAGTTTTGTTGTAGTTTTGATATGGTTGTGGGAGGATTCAAGTACCACATTTGCCTACACGGCCACTTTCAAGAACTCTGAACCAAATCTTTTTATGTAAAAGCTAAGTCAAGACATTGGAGAGAGATTAGGAAGTTGGAAAACAGCAATATTAATAAATGGCAAAGGTGAGCCTGCAGCGGTTTGATATAGAAGCTGCCACATAGTGAGAGCTGTGTTTTAGAAAGATCATTTTGGCAGCTATGCAAAAAATGGATGAATAGAGGCTGAGAATGAGGTAGGAAAATCAAGACTTTAGCTGTTGCAGCTGGATAGAGTGAGGTAGGGAGGCAATCTGGGCTTAATGTGCTGTTAGAAAGAAAAGGGAAGAAAGATTCATGACTCACATATTTTAGTTAACAGGGGAGGGGGAGAAAATATACAATTAGTTCTAGGTTTTGCCCTAAGTAACTGGATACTGAGAAAAAGAGGAAGACTACGAAGGAGAAGGCTTACATTAGAGTACAAGCTCATATGAAAGTATCTGAGCATTTTAAGACATTAAAGCTACTTAGTATACTGCAAACCCCTGGTAACTGGAGCGATTAAAAGAATTTTCCATCTAATACATAAATGTGCAGAGGTTTTCCTAGTTCAGCTTTTCTGCTCACTGAGTATTTTCAGTTTACAATTGGTCATTATGAGTTCATCCATTTATTATCTCCACGAAGTTAGTTAATGGAAGCATTTCATTTTTAATCTAACATTGGCGAAGGAATTTTTAGAAAGTCCTTCAGAGAGACTCTGAAAAGCCAGACTTCAACTTTAATTTTCTGAGTACTTTTTCTGCTTAAAGTTACTGAAATAAAGTATCATTGCTTAGAAAAATAGCAAGCACTGCCACTTAAAAATTCAATTCACTATATAACTATTTCAGATCATTTTACCTTGGGGCAGCAATTTGTCTTGCTTGAAATGTATTTTAGCCTAATAGTAGTAGTAAAATGTTAGGATGAGCTGCAAACTGTTTTTGGTTTCTACATACCCAGGCACATAAATACTGTTTTGAATTGGACTCAGTCAAATAACAGGTCTAATTTCCCACTGAATTCAAATTGTTTAGATTAATTAAGTGAACTGATTGGCTCTCTGTTATCATGTAGATATCACCCAAGATTGTTATCAAATTAATAAATGAAGGAAAAGCATGGCTTATGGTTCAAGAATAAAATAATAGCTGTCATTATTTAAGGCAGCGGTTCTCAACCTGTGGGTCACGACCCCTTTGGGGGTCAAAAGACCCTTTCACAGGGGTCGCCTAAGGCCATTGGAAAACACATATAATTACATATTGTTTCTGTGATTAATCACTATGCTTTAATTATGTTCAATTTGTAACAATGAAATTGGGGGTCACCACAACATGAGGAACTGTATTAAAGGGTCGCGGCATTAGGAAGGTGGAGAACCACTGATTTAAGGGATATATTCTCTTGTTCAACAAAACTTGTATGCTGCATTAACATGCTCTACACAAAATACTACTACAACAGAATAATGAGAAAGTCCAAGTTATTACTTTATGTATATTTCTCATACTAGTAATATTTTAAACATTAGTTAGGATGCCATATAAAATATAGATTTCACTCTCAGAATTTTATTATAGTTCTCTCAGCCAGCACATAGTATAAGTTTCCATAAAGTTTTTTTTTTAACTCATTGAACTCCTCCTCTCCAAATTCAAATCCCCTTGCCACCAAGAATTGTGGGTTCTCTTGCCACCATCCCAAACTTCCCTCTTTGCCTCTGACTGTTCTGATCACTCTGCGCAGTGGGACAGTGGACCCACCACCAGCAAGGAAGTTTCATGTTACTGTCTTCAGCCCAACCCAGTATTCTATAGTAGAGTTTTAACATTCTATTCGAAGCCATTGACAAATTGTCATGTCTGTGGAGATTTCACTTGATTGGTTAGAGTGATTTCGTAATACTATCTCAGTTACATACGCAATGGAAACTAAGTCTATTTTGGAAGAAGAGGCCTGAGGCATTTGCAACATCACAGAAGTGCTGTGCACTTCCCAGTCTCAGACAAAAGACGAGGGTTGTATTTTTAGATGTTTAGCCAGCCATGGACAACAGAAAACCAGGTATGAAGCCAAAGCTCCCAGGGAACTGTGCACCACAAAGCATCCTGGTAGCAGTACTGCACTATGGCTCTATGGCCCTGCACGCTACAGCGTCAGTACTCGATGGGACTTATGAAACCCCAACATCTGTGGCTTTACAGAAAGTGTTCTACGTAAGGACTAAGAGCCACTTGAGCCTGGTGTAGGACAGTGGCAGGGATGGGTGGAATAAAGATTGGGAAATGTGCTTTTGTGGGGACAGAGCTTTGGGGCAAGTGCAGTTTTATTTACTGACCTTCAACTGATAATTCTGGAGGAAAATTATGTTTTTCCTGTGGTGATTGTAGCAAGTAACCATCAATAGCAAAGGCAGAAAGTATTCATTTTCTAGTAAAGACATACTTTTTTTTTCAATATGAAAGAAGGATGAACGTCAGACGAATATCATTACAAATAGTTTTATACATAGTAAGCACGATTGGGGGAAAATACTTTTCAAGACAAATGGCAAAGGCTTCCTTTTAAATGAATTCTTTGGTTATGAACAGGTCTTGAGTGACATTAGCTGGTGTCTGTTCTGTGTGTCCCTGGAGGACCAGGATAAGATTAATTATCCTGGGTTATAGCTCAAAGAACATATTTAATACAACTTACTTTGCTTTTATGTAAACAAATTGCAGATTGAAAATATCTTTAGATCTGAGATAGTATCTGTTATTTACAAAGCTATTACTGAATATGTTGCTTAAACTTTTTATTCTTTTAAAAATAAAAACTCCGATGTTCTTAACAGGAAGCATAAATAAGGCAGAAATACAAACTCTTTGTACATCTTCCCATGAGTCTTGGCATGAGGCTTCTCATTCATTGGCTCACAGATTCCTGAGTTAAATAAAAACATAATGAAACTTAATTAGCATGTCCTGGTTACTCTATAATGGCTTATCATCACTTCAGCAAAGCAAAACTTGCTGGGAAGGGGTGATCCAACCTATTGCCAAACCCGGCAGTTCCTATTCTCACTACTCAGGAGAAAAATACTGACAAACTATGAAAATTTTTATTCTAATCAGTAAAGAAAATAAGCTAATATTAACCAAAAAGATGGAATGTGTCAGAATAAAATAGGACAATCCAGAAAAATTGAGACAGGAAAAAAAATAAGACTACATGAAGAGTTGTAAAAGAAAGTAGCCCATGGTGACAAAAGAAACACACACACATATATGTAGGCAGTACAATAGCTTTACTTTTATATTGGTTCCCTGGTGGGAAAAATATGTCATTTATTTTTGTATAACTCTGTTTTCTCCCATAATATTGTAAACAAGCAGACCCACGCACATTGTGATTGACTAGGTCTTTAATGAAACTTTTTTTAAAAAGTAGCTGGGTTAATAGACAGCCTATGTCTATTGGATTTTACCTTTTATTTGGAATAGCATTTAGAAGTAACTTACATTTTTTCTGTACCTGGGGACATTATTTTCTATACCATTGCTATCATCTGATTTCCTGTATTGAAAATAAAGAAAGAAAGTCACTAGATGTTTACACTACATAAAATTAAGTCAGTAACCATCTACATCATGACTATCAGGTTAATGTGAACAGTAAGTACAGACAGAATTTACTCTTAAAAATGTTTTACTCATAATGTTAATTTTTTATGTCATTGATTATGTTGCGGCAGGTGACAGTGGCAAAGGCCTGTCTATTTTATTCAGAGGGAGAATTGCTTCTCCCTAAGCATGTGTGGGGGCTTGGGTAGATGGCTGTAATGTATGTGTTGTTTTGACAAATGCAAGGTGATAGCCAATCAGGAGCTCAGCCAATATATGAGTTATAGGGGCTGTACTTTGACAAGTTTATTGCACTGAATTAGAGGATGAACATGGTTTTTTATCTACCCAAAATGCATCAGAGCAAGAATACATGTCTGGGCTTCAGATTCTGAAGACAAGAGTGGCTAAACTATATAACAAGGGTGTGTAATGAATCCCCTTCTAGGTCTTTTAGGAAGCTTTGAGCTCATCAAGCCATTAATACCAGAGAATAAATTCAACCATCAAATCAATTATGTTGAAATCTGGGGGCAAGGACAGTTAAGTGAGATTGTGTGGATTAAATATCTGAGTGGATTAGATGCTGAGTGCGCTCCTCATTGGACTATGTGAATGAGCACTAAAACTAGCCTGTTTTGATGTTGCATGTTTATACTATTCTAAAAAATCATTTTCACCAATACACTGTGAATAACTGGCATCTAAGTGAACATACACATATATATACACATTATACATAAAATATATTGATACATAATATTTGTTCTCTGTCAAGAAAAATGTATCTCCTAGCTAATACATTCTAAAAGAGCATTGGGAAAAGGTAGGTCTAAATGACTTCAAGTGCCCCTGACACTGGAATGAAATCTAAAGCTACAGCTATAACCTAAAGATGAGGAAAATAAAATGCTGTCAGTGATCTCCGTGGAGCAGTATGGGATGGAGAAAATGATGTACAATATCCAAGTTTTCAAAGGGCAGGAAGTTAATGCATTGCACTAGAGACTGAATCAATTTGACATTGCCAAGATATTCTAGAAAAAATACTTTTAAAGTATTTTTTTCAATAGGGTAGGCTACATAAGCGAAAATTAAATTATGAAGAATTGGTCGTCGGTTCCATGGGTTCTGACACCATCCTTTCAGAGTGTCCTATGCCAACCAGAATGTGCTGAGACCCCAGCAGCTTCCTACTGTCACTGCAAGGGAATGGGTGGAAACACTGGGGAGACTGAGCTGGGGGAACCAAAGAATTGGGCAAGGTTGTAATGTTTCAAATATCTGTCATGAATTGTATATGACTTTAAGTATAAGAAAGAGATTCCATACATGGGAGCCGGAAAGATGCAAAGTTCAAATTAGTATAAGTAAGATGTTTAAGTTCTCCAGAACGAGGGACAATTAATTTTCTCCCAGCCACGAGAGTCTGTGATTCTAAGGCAACACCGTTGTATTCCTATCTATGATTATGGGACTCCTGATATAATGATTTTATGCCCTTAATTTATAAGCTCATATGTATTGGTTTATTTTATCTTCCACATGTGAATTGATTAAAATAACTATTTTGCATAGCATCTACAAATATCTGAATGATAGCCGTATAACCTGCCCCATTCTTTAAGAGTGGCTACTGCACTCACACCTCAGAGCTCCTGTTGACTGATAAAGATAAACTTTAAAGGCAATTTTTTGTTGGTAACATTTGCTCAGGCCTCCAATTTCTTAGGTTTCTCTTGGCTGCTTTCATCTGGTCTTATTTTCTGGTCCCCAGTCCTTGGCTCTGTTACTGAGATCTTTTTTGAAGTATCGTTGGCATACAATATTATAATAGTCTCAACATAGTGATTCAACATTTACATACCTTGCAATGTGACCACCACAATAAGTCTAGTAGTCATCTATCATCATACAAAATTATTACAATATTGTTGACTACTTTCCCTATGCTGTACATTACATCCTGTGGATTATGTATGGACCTAGAGGGTATTATGTTAAGTGAAATAAATCAGACAGAGAAAGACAAATACCATATGATTTCACTTAAATGTGGAGTCTAAAAAAACAAAAAACGAAAACCAATGAAGAAACAGACTCATAGAGACAGAGAACAAACTGATGGTTGCCAGTGGGGAGGGGGATGGATGAAAACGATGAGGGGAGTAAGAGGTACTAGCTTCCAGTTATAAAACGAAGTTGCTAAAGATTTTAATCCCAATCTTGGCCTCCTCCGTCACTGGACTCTACACTCAGTTATCTGGTTTGGAGGAACTTGAAGCTCCCAGCTTTAGCACAGAAAACTGTACCCCTGGTAACCTCCTCCCCAACCCTCCGCCTGCTCAACTCTCCACAAAGTGAGCTGTATGAGAACTAGCGCACAATTTGTGTGCTTTCAAAATAGTGACTGACAGAATCCCAGGCCAGTCATTTTCCACCCGACAGGGAATCAGCATCAGTGATTGACATGTTAAAGAAAGACGGAAGCCTAGGCACCAATCCCAGAGGTTCTGATTCGGAGATCCAGTAAGGTCTGAGTAACTGCATTTTTAAGGAGCATCCATCCTAAGTGATCAAAAATATAGCCGGGTTTGAGAATCAGTGCTTCACACAAATAATACTTCCTTATGGTCACTGAACACCCACGCTAGGTGTTCATAGCCCACACTAGGCCCTTTTACACATAGCATATCATTTAACCCAACAGCCCTATGTTGTAGGTACTACCACCAAACCCACTTTTCCAGGAGAAAACAGGATTCCAATGTTGGCAGGCAAACTCCAGATGGTCACTACAACACGGACACATACGGCGAGTAGCATACATAATATACACGTGATTTTCGCCTAACTGTAAGCATTTATTCTATTTCATATTTATCTGTATTTCACTCAAGTGAAAATTTATAAAAAAATACTACTTACAGCTGTTCAATTTGGTCAAATTCTTTCCCATCATCTGTGTGACAAAAGAAGAATATGCATATTAAGATTGGTTTATTATTCTTATGGAGCATGTATGTTTAATTCAACCCCCCCACCCCCAGCTAAGAATGCACTGTGCTATGTCCCCTCTTTGGAATGAAAGAGAGATGAGCGCCCTTAGGCAGCCGCACCTCCATCCTGTCCTCCTCTTGTACCTAAAATTTCTATCAAGCATAGTCTAGACTAGAGCTTCAAATTCTCAAAACAGGACTGATTGATAGATTAATTACAAATTTATTTAAGTTATTAAAGGTTTAGTACAAAATCAAGAGAGAATACAAAATTTAAGATAAATTATCTTACGGGAAGAACATTGGTTTCTCAACCCATAATCCATCAGGTATAGGCTACAAAACTAGGAAACTGACAGGACCTAGTCTCTATATGAGAACTCTAAAATGTTTGATCAAATATTTTAAGTGAGTTATCTAAATGAAAAAGCAATTATTTGTCTTTGAAATCTTTTCTATTGTGCTATCACAGAATTTCCCAATATTCCAGGACCAAAGCACATACTACCTAATTGATACGTAGGTACCAGTAACACCAAAGAAAATGGTGGAAAAGATATATTTTAGTACTACAATAGTTTAGTAAATTGAAACAGGAAGATCATCAATACAAGCTCATAGCTCACTGTCACCATTGATTTTAACATAAATATCATTCCAGGTAACAAAAACTAGATGTTTCCCCAAAACTCTGAAGCCCCTGTAATATGTTAAGTCATAACTTGAGAACGTTATCTAAAAAAATAACTCCTACCTGGGCGGTTCTTTTTCTTTTTGGTGTACACTTCACAAAGCAGAATAATAGCCACTAAAAGAACAACCTCAGCAGCTATTGCAAGAAATGGTTTGAGGGGCACCAAATAAGTCAGCACGACAAGTTCAATGTGGTCTTCACTCTCGCCTAATTGGAATATTGCATGGCACCAGTAAGCTCCCTGATCTTCCTCTGAAAGGTGCATTATCTTGAGCCTTGTTTCATTAGCATTTGTTCCACTGATCACATACTTATCGCTCATTTGAACATCAAGAGGAACCTAATATAAGGAGACATTAAAATCCATTCCTATCATATTGCATGCAAGAGACATGTTCTAAATGATCTAGTTTTGAGCAAAAGCTATAAGATAAGGCCAAGAGAACCACTTACCAGAGAAAGGCATGTTAAAACTTGTGAGAAGTTATACGTACTAGTAACAGCTCATCTCACCAGAGTTTGATCTCCAAGAGGTAACAAGCAAAGGAGAAGTATACTTTGCTGTCAGTACTTACCACTGAATGAAACCACAGCACACGGGTCATCATGGGTAAATATTATATGAGAATTAACAGCCAGCTGGATTTCACATTCTAATTCCCGACTAGCTGTTCAAAGAACTTTCCCTTCTCAAGCACAGGAATACATTCAACCAACTATTAAATGAATGAAGCCGCTAAATCTGATCGTTCCTATAAAGGAAGATCACTGGCTCTGGAGATTGGGAGTTCCTCTGACAGCGACTGGAGATGAAATCTTCTGTCCTGAAAGATGATGTGGAAGGATGGGTGGACATCCCTGGTGAGGCTGGTGTACGTGGTGGTGTGGGCACTCTCTGTCCTTTCATACCTGAATCAATCAGTCTCTCTCTCTCTCTCTCTCTCTCTCTCTCTCTCTCTCTCTCTCTCTCTCTCTCTCTTCTGATATTCACTGGATTTTCCCAGCCACTCAAGAGTCACGCTAGGCTATTTGGGGGCTTATTTATTTAATCCATTTAAATTCAATTTTATTCTCAGGCTACTAGTATTTAATTCCTTCACTGCTCTGTCATTCACTTGCACTGCTCAATATATGCTCACCTGCATACAAATATTCCCAGAGGTTATCTGATGAAGCACTCTCTGTGAGTTTATTATGTGCCCCCAAAATTATAGTAGCCTGCTCCCTGGGCGCAGCACTGCCTGTGATGCTGTTACCCATGTGTCTTCTCTAACTCGGAGCTGACGAATCTGAGGGTTGTGTAGAGTAACAGGCATCCCAGGGTATTCTGATGCAGAGGGTTGGCCCACACTTTGAAAAAAAACACTTGACCTAAAGTTTTGACCTGCACCTTCTTCCCTGCACCTTCTTCCCTGCACTTTTCTCACTTCTTAATCTGACCCATGCTTAGGGCCAAATTATAAGAGAAAATGAGTATAGCAAATGGAGAGCTGCACAGACTACCTTCTAGAAGTTTAATATAATTAGATTTAGGGTATTTTCATCAGTGTCACATGTGCATAAATAAATTAGACTGGACATTTCCAATATCACAATTATAATTTTTACATATTTACATGTTTTTAAAAAATTATTTACATATACAAAATGATTGCCTTTCCTAATCAATAAGAAGAGAAGCAGAAATGTTAATGGTTTGTCTACTCCTAGGTGGATGGGAGCTGTTTCTTTGAAAAATCAAACTAAGGTTCTCATAGAATCAGTCACTCTCCCTGTTCTCCTTCAACAGTCTATGATAGCATCAACTTTGTCAAAGACGGAACTTACTGTTTCAGTTAAGGTGTACACTGTCTCATACTGTTCCTTCTAGAATTACAGCTTGCCTTTACAGAATTGAATTTCTGTGACCATTAGCAGCAGGCAATGGGATCATTTCCTACATTTCCATGCTATTAGAGGCTATCTTGGAGGAAGAAAGAGCCAAAAAGATTTCTTGAATACTCAAGTGTGTTTTATGGTTTGTTTGTTTTTTTCCAAATCAGATCTTTGAGTACCCATTAATTCCTTAATAGGAATTTTAAGCACTTGGCTTCCCTTAAGCCTCTGGGAGGCCAAAAGAAGCCAAGGCCAGTTACTGGAAGAACCTAAGTTCAAAGGACCAAGTTGTCATTCTTTTCTGAGATGGTGCAGTTGTACTGCCTCCTATCACAAGTGTGTCTGGAGGGAGACAGCAGCAGGAAAGGAAGACAGCCTTTTTTCCAGTTATTTTCATGAAAAGTTATTTTCATGTTGTTGTTGGGGTTATTTATAAAGTCGTCAAGTAAAAGTGAATTATAACTTTATTCAAAGAATTTAAATAGATTGCTAAATGTAAAAAACAAAAAACAGATAATGGAACATTTAAGAGTATCTTCCAATGTGTAATGTAACAAGCTAAAAACGTCAAATGACAACTCTCTTTATCACTGTTCTTTCTTTATGAACACATACTACAGAAAAAGATAGCAGACATATAAATAGTCCTTGCAATTCTAAGTCTATTATAATCTTATTATAAAATAAAATTTTTATTTGTTTTCTTCAAATTAAAGAAATACGACCTTACCTGTACACTCCCATTCATACTGTACCAGGTCCAATTTAAAGGAACACACTCTTGGCATTTACATATAAATACAGTTGAATCCCCCACATAAGTGATCACTGGTTTGTTTTTTCCATGAAGTTCGGGGACTAAGAAAAATGTAGAGAAACGTAGATTACTGAAAGAGTTTGAGTAGGGAGAATGTATTTAAGTTGAAGTAAGTTTCTTTCATTTTTTCTCATTAACATGAGAAAGATCAACCTGCTGTAGGAGGAGCCTCCACGAAAGCCTTGCAGATGAAGTAGAGATCTGAGTGTGGCTAAAACAGGGATTCTTTTCTGAAGCCACAGTTTCCTTCCAACCCATGGAGGGCAGGGAGCTACACCTGGGTATCACCTGGTGAGGCACAGCGTGCACGTGGTAGGCACTGCATTTTAACAACGCGGCTGTGATGCAGGTACTTCTAGAGCCAGGCTGGGCTCGCCTTAAACGCACGCTGTTCTGAAGGCTACTTTGAAGCTGGTTGTGCTGGGCACCAGTCCAGGGCCTTTCTGCCTCCCCAGCTGGCTGATCTCTCCGATATCTCCTCTAAGTCGCAATCTCAGCATGCTCTTTCTGGAAACAGGTTAGGTCATGATTCAGCAGGAAGCTATGTGGTGAAATATGATCAAAACACTGACGTTTACTCAGGCTAGGAAGCAAAGTGGAAGAAAAGCAATGTTTTGGGGAAACACGGTAGAAGATACCCTTTTCCAGTAAGTGTTTAAGAGGTACAGGCCTGGGAAGCACAGCTGCTAGCTGAGAGGGGCTTTTCAAGAAAATCTTGGGTATTTTATGAAGTTTGGGGGTGGGACACCCTGTTGGGCTATTAGACTATCTCAAGTAAGTGTGAAGGTCAGGGTATAGACTGTAGGTAAGTGACAGTGACACCAGAGGGGAACAAAACCAAAATTCTGCTTTCTTTTCATCTCTTCTGTTGGTTTTCTTTTCTACTGTCCTCTGGATTAATGGTCAAGATGACAGTGACCACGGCTCTGCCATGCTTTACGTGGCTGATACCAGCCGTGTGGACCTAAATTATAAAATGTACTACTCTCAGGGAACATAACTTGTTAGAACTGCTCTGGAGATCACACATGGTTCTGGGATGCTGCTTACATTTGGAAATATTTATGACTACAAGGGCAGGGATACGGTATTCCAATGTGTCTGAATGACCTTTTGGAACTTTGGATAAACTCTAGGGCACATGAGAGTCTTGGGATTGGAAGAAGCCATGTTTAAAGATGGTGAAGTTGCTGCTTCAGACCGATCTCTGGTCTTTTTTTTATACCATCACTCATCTTTCCAGGGTGAAAAGTAATTGCGACATTTGCTGTTGCCCCTGTAACTGGCATCACTAGCCAGACCACGAAGTCAGCAGAGCTTTTGCATTGTACTAATCAGTGATGTGGGCCCTTTTATAATCTTGTAGTAATTAATCAACCAGCTCTCATAAAGGCAGAAGCAGGAACTGTGCTGATGAATTATTCTGAGAACTCAGACTCATGCACTATAGCTGACTCATGTAGTCAACAGAAGAATTTTTTTGGTCTCAACTTAAAATAGAGAATAAAGCAGGCTTTTCATCCACACTCAACTATAGTGCTGCTAAGGAAAGATAATCCTTATTCTTAAGAAAAGTCATAAGCAATCCATCTGCAGAAAGCATAATAAGGCATCGATAGAAATATATACCATTCTATAAGCCTTATAGATCTAATTAAATAACTATAATATTAGTTGTTCTGCAGAAGCCACACATCTTTAAAGTGTAATTAAATAAAATTATTTCTCTAAACAACATTAACTTAGAGGAATTACAAAGAATTATTATTTCACCAAAAAAAGATCTAGAAGGGCTCAACTTATTTTTATAAATATCTTCATGATATAGTACATGCTAAAAAGTCACATTAATGTTAAGTGGGCATTCAAAAATAATAAACTGCACAGCTGGTGTGTCTCAGTGGTTGAGTTCTGACCTATGAACCAGGAGGTCACAGTTCAATTCCAAGTCAGGTTGTGGGCTCATCCCCAGTGTGAGTCTTGCAGGAGGCAGCTGATCAATGATTCTTTCCCATCATTGATGTTTCTATTTCCTTTTAAAAATATATACATTTTATTGATTTTTTACAGAGAGGGAGAGGGATAGAGAGTTGGAAACATTGATAAGAGAGAAACATTGATCAGCTGCCTCCTGCACACCTCCCACTGGGGATGTGCCCGCAACCAAGGTACATGCCCTTGACTGGAATCAAACCCAGGACCCTTCAGTCCGCAGGCCGATGCTCCATCCACTGAGCCAAACCGGTTAGGGCTGATGTTTCTATTTCTATCTCCCTCTCTCTTTCTCTCTCTGAAGTCAATAAAGATATATTTGTAAAATAAAAACAAAAAAATCTCTAATAAACTGAGCTAAACTGCTTCAAGAAAACTATTTTTCAAAGATTCTAAATATTCAGTGCTGATTTCATTCCTCAAGCACTTGATTTCAGATCTAGGCTTAGTGTTGATACTCCATCAGCTTCGTTCTCTCAAAATAGATAGGAAATCAAGAAGCCTTCTTCAAGACCACCTGACATTAAACCTGTTGGTATATGGAAAGGTAAAATGCCCTTGCTAATCTTCACATCAGAGGTAAGAATGATCACTTCAAGTAATAGCTTAGGGACTTTCTTATAAGAGAGCTAATGAGAAAAAATGCAGTTTATTTAATATTTAAACTTTCTCAATAGGCATAACTAGTATGCAGAAAATAGCCATTTAAAAGAGGAGAAGCAATTTTTAAAGTTGTATTTCTTAGAATCACATCAAGTCTCAAGATTTGATGAGTATCTTCTTAAGACCCACAGGTCTTCTTTACTTATTTTAAAGAGGCTCAATACAATGTTTACAAGGACTGTGTGTGCATGAGCATGTGTGTGTACAGGTATTCAATACTCTTAACTCATTGTGGAATGAGGGAGGAAAAAAAGTGGGGGGGGGGACAAAAGGAAAGGAAAATGAAAAAGAAGGAAAGGAATAATGAAAGGAACTGTAGTTTATCCTTCACTAAGTTAAATTAGGCAAATTAAGGAAAGTTAAAAGAGAATGTATATGATCAAAATAATCAAAGGATGATAATAGTTTCTGCCTTTGCAGAGACCGATTTGCATAAACATAAGAATTTATTATATTTACCAAGAAAGAACATTTATAGAACCACATGAAGGAAATGAGTCAGTGAGTACAGAGGGAATACAAGGAGGAATACAGGAGTGAACCATCTTAAATCCCGGTAATGATGAAGCAGGCCATTCCACTACTGATGGGGCCTTGGGAACAGTATCCACATTTTGTCAGGGCAGCTAGCCATACTTGAGAATGATTTCTCATGTATCCTGGGAAATTATTGTGAAGCAAAGCCCCAAATAGTTAATGTGGTGACAGACGGAGTTTCCGAAATAGCAGCATGGACATTGCGTTCACTAATCTATCACAGAATGTGGGGTTTTTCATGAAGATAATTATCCAGCTTGAATGGCTAATCTTTATTATGAGTTTGAGACCTTTAAAGTTTTGGTTTAATGATAGAAAGAGTAAAATACTTTGATTTGTCCATTCCCACAGGGAAAGCTGTGGGTTATATTCTGAGGTTGTCCTTACTTGATGAGATCAAAACCAGGCAACCCTGTGTGCATCTTCATAGTATTTTTAAATTTTATGTATCCTTAAATTTCCAAGTCCTAGAGCCACTGATGGACACACAGTTTCACAGTCTAAGCGTACAGTGACTCAGTTACCTGGAGGGCTACTATGAAAGCTCTGAGTTTAGAGCGATGGATGGAAGGATGGATGAATGATAGATTGGTTGATTTAAGATAGATGGATAGATAGGTTCAAGAGACTGCTGTGATTTACAAAGAACTTGGCAGCCTGGTCTTTCTAACTAAATCCTGTGCTTTAAACTAGGGCAGGGAAGCCAAGTGGAAGTGGGTTGGGAAATACAAATCCTACACTGGGAAGCACTATTTTAAAGATTGCCACTTATGACTCAATGGAAAGCATATAATTTTCTTTCAGCTGCATTATGTTTAGTATTGTAGTAATATAAAAATTGGGGGATGTAGTAGTCTCAGAATAGAGCACTGAAGTTATAACTCTATAAATTATTAGTACTGACCTTTGAAATTAAATGTACCCCTTTGTTCCTTTTCCTCTTGGAAGAAACAAGAATAACTTCCCATTTGTTTGCTATCAATGATGGTAAACCTAAAGATAATTTAAGTTATTAATATGAGCTTAGTTCTCTAAATACTTTCAATGAAAATGAAAAGACTTAGCCATTAATCAAAATTTTAAAAAAGAAAAAAAAATTGTAATAACATTCAAGTGAAAACAATGGGGAAAAAATGCCAGTCACAAAAATATTTAGAATTTAACTAGTAATTTTATGTAACCAACCAGCTTAAAACTTAGTGTACTCACATGTATTGGGTATACAGAATGTTTCCTGTTGCATTGATGAGATAATTATTCTCAATAAGTTCATCATCTTTTCTCCAAGTCACGTTTACTGAATTCAGATCCCCAGATGTTGTGTACTGGCACGTGAGTTCTACATTAGAAGGTCTTTGCAAAGTGATATTTTTTTCTACTGCAACATTGGAATATTCTATTAGCCACAAAAGAAAACAAAACCAAATGATATTGTAAAAGCTACATAGAGGGGAAATCCAATATAAAAAACAGTTTAAATCAACAGTAGTGCTCTACTAAGACCATTTCCTCATCAGACATTCCTTTCAGGAATTATTTCTCTGTTAACACCTATGTGGTTCCTTTTGTTATTCTCTTTCATAGGCACTGTTGAGGAAAAGCTGTGTTAAAACATTAACATAATTGCAAAAGCCTTAGGCTGTGATCTTCTTTTAAAAAAATATATTTCTTTATTGATTTCAGAGAGGAAGGGAGAAGGAGAGAAATAGAAACATCAATGATGAGAGAGAATCATTGATCGGCTACCTCCTGAACGTCCCCTACTGGGGATCGAGCCCACAACCCAGGCATGTGCCCTTGGCTGGAATCAAACCTGGGACTCTTCAGTCCACAGGCTGACGCTCTATCCACTGAGCCAAGTTGGCTAGGGATAGGCTGTGATCTTAATCTCCTTAAAATCTGTAGCTGTGAAGGGTAGAGGAGGAAGCAACCTGTGAGTGGTGTCCTGTTTCATATACTTTCAGGTGCTTCTACAGTTTGCTTGCTTTCCTATCAGCAAAGCACAAGCATAAAACACTTAGAAAGAGTTTTACCTCTAAGTCTAAAATACTTTGTGGTTAGCCAACACACTAATATGTCCATTGAACTTGGTGCACAATGTATAAGCTTCCCCAGAACTCCACAACTGCAGTAACGTAGTTCTGCTTTCTTAGAGTGTTACAAAAGCAGCCATGGCATGTACATTTCCAGGACTTTTACCCATTTGCTCAGTATCTGAACTATATTTTTTTTAAAGGCTGTTCTTAAAATCATAGTAATTTACATCTGCCTAAATAGTCTTATTTTTATCATTAAAAATTTTAAAGTGTATGGACCTTTAAGCAAATTGTGATCTTTGAAAAAATGACAAGTTAGACCTTAAGGGGTACAATTGGGTATCATTTCACTTGAAATAAAAGTCTACTTTGACCTATTACAAAAAAGTAAAAAATTTAGAAAGCCTCTTAAAATTTATTACATAGGACATGGTTTAAATCAGGAACTCTTATTAAAAATAGTTAAGTGCACTACAACATGTGAAACTCAGTAGCAGCCCTAGACAGTTTGGCTCTGTGAATAGAGCATCAGACTGCGGACCTAAGGGTCCTGGGTCTGATTCCAGTCAAGGGCACATGCCTCGGTTGCAGGCTCCTCCCTGGCTTGGGCCCTGGTCAGGGCTATTGCAGGAGGCAACCAATCAATGTGCCTTTCTCATTGCTATTTCTCTCTGTGTTTCTGTCTCTCTTCCACTATCTCTAAAAATCAATGGAAAAATATCCTCGAGTGAGGATTAAAAAATAATAATAATAAATAAATAAATAAATAAATAAATAAATAAATAAATACAACTCAATAATAGCAATAAAACATCTCGATTTTAAAATGAGCAAATAACCTGAATAGACATTCCTCAAGAAAAGAATTACAAATGGCCAACCAATACATGACGGGGTCCTCAACATCACTGATCATCAGGGACATGCAAGTCAAAACCACAGTGGAGACATCACACCTGATAGGATGGCTATTATAAAAAAGATACGAGATAACAAGCATTGGTGAGGATGTGGAGGAAAGGGAACACTTGTACACTGTTGGTGGGAATGTCATTTGGTGCAGCCATTTGGAAAACAGTATGGAGATTCCTCAAAAAATAAAAAAAAATAGAACTTCCATATTATCCAACAATCCCATTTCTGGGCACCTAGCTAAAGGGGATGAAATCAGATCTCAATGAGATATATGCATTGTCATGCTTGCTGCTGTGTAGTCACAACAGCCAACATAGCAAAACAACCCACGTGTTCATCAATAGAATGAACAAAGAAGTTGTGGTATACATAAAGTGGAATATTATTCAGCTATGACAAAGAAGGAAATCCTGCCTTTTACAATGACATGGATGAAACTGGAAGACATTATGTTAAGCGAAATAAGCCAGACAAAGATAAACACTGTATGATTTCACTTACTTGTAAAATCTTAAAAAAAAAAAAAAAGTTGAACTTCTAGAAGCAAAGAGTAGAAAGTTGGTTACCAGGGACGATGGGAGCAGGGGAAATGAGATGTTGGTCAAATGTACAAGGTTGCAATTATGTAGGATGAATTAAGATTTGAGAGCTAATGTACAGGCATGAAGACTATATTCATTAATATACTTGATAATATTTTACTGAAATCTAAGAGTAGATTTCAGGTTCATTCATCACACACAGAAATAACTGTGAGAAGGTGATATGTTAATTAGCTTGACTATGGTATCATCTCACTATCCTATATAATAAAAGGCTAATATGCAAATTGACTGAAAAGTGGAATGACTGGTCGCTATGACATGCACTGACCACCAGGGGGCAGATGCTCAATGCAGGAGCTGCTCCTGGTGGTCAGTGTGGTCTAACAAGGGGAGCACTGCTCAGCCAGAAGTGGGGCTCAAGGCTGGCTTGCGCAGCGGCGGTGGCAGGAGCCTCTCCCACCTCCATGGCAGTGCTAAAGATGTCCAACTACCCCCACCCCCACCCCCACAGTACATGATTTCATGCACTGGGCCTCTAGTATCTATCTATCTATCTATCTATCTATCTATCTATCTATATATATAAAATCATCATGTTAAACATGTACACTTTAAATACAATTTAAAAAAATATATATTTTAAAAAAATAATAGATCTCAAATGCAAATCTAAATCACAGGTGGGAATACAACACAATATCATAAAAACATTAATTATCCCCAAATTAATCTACAGATTCAGTGAAAGAGGATGATTGTCATGTTGGTCCAAAATTTGCAACTAATGTATTGCATCTGAATTTCCTTATAAGAAAAACTTTATTCTAAAAGAGACACCAACTTATAAAATGGCCCAAAAGAAAAAGAAAATAATATTGAAAGTAACTGTTGTAAGCACCATATACAGACGAACCTGAGTAATCAATATTGTTGCAAATATTCCATTTATAAAGTGGGTTAAAAATCCCAGTGATAGCAGTGAGAATAAACCTAAGGTTCCTAGTCACCATAAATTCATCTTCAGATTAGAATTCTGTATTTCACAAAAGACAGTTCCTACAACCCAACTTTCTGATGAGAAGGCAACAGAACAACAACCTGCATGTAAATGTCGTTGTCTTGACAACCAGTGTTTCAAAATGAATGTCAAATGCTTTGTCAAATAAAAACAAATCTGGACTTAAATAAGGAAAAACTAGATTCAAAAAGTCTATTGCACTATGAGCATGCTCCCGACGTTGGATCTGCAAGCATCTCAAAATCAAAACAAATAGGCCTTTCTCATAGGGAGGGAAAGCCCGCTAGCAGGAGATTTTGAGAGGACATTGGACAAACTAGTGGGGGAAGCACACAACATGACTGGGCTGTCATGCACTTAGTGATTGCTCAGACCTGGGCAAGCCCAAGTTCAGGGGCCTATGAAAAAGAGAAAACTGCCTGACTCAAGCTCATCAGGCCAACGTGAAGGTAAGCAAGCAATGTACTGTGAACACTTGATGCCTTCGTAACAGTTGGGATACTGGTTTTAATAGAAGTTGCAGAATGAAAGAGTAGTTAGGAGTTAAGCCCTCCGAACAGGTTAAGTAAGTAAATAACCAGCCCAGCATCAACTAAAAAGTCAATGCTTGCTCTCGCCCCAAGCACCTTCCTTCCCCAGTTGCCTGCTGGACTGGAAGCTGAAGGGTGTGATGCTGCCAACATCCTCGGGCTGGTCAAAGGATTGGCAAACGTATTATTCACATGAATTCCCTTAAACATTTCATCCCAACGGGGAAACTCACCAGTAGAACATGCAAACAGTAAAAAAGCAAGTAAGAATACATCCTAAATATTGGAATGGGGATATTTGGGGGCAAACAGAAGTTGCACAATGTCATAAAAATGTTCTATGATAAAGTGCAGTGCAAACATCCCTTTGGAATCAGATTGGGGAGGAAAAAGCTCACCTTTCCTGATAAACAAAAGTACAGGAACAGTTTTTCAGATGAGAAGACATATAATTGGATAAAACTCGTTATTGACTCACTGAACAGGTTTAAAGTATTTTAAATGCTACTTGAACTTTTAATATTGTTACTTAAACAGATAATGCTTCTTACTCATTTAAAGAACTCTAAGATTGCTTTGAAACACTGGTGGTCAAACCCAAAAAAAACATGAAAAGGGGAAGCAGAGCTGAGTTTTAGCCCAGAATTCTTTACTCATTTTTCTCCTGCATTGTCATGGGCTCCCTGGGGCATCTTCAAATGAGCTGCTAAAAGGTCTTTCACAAGATACCTGAGTTCTCCTCTCAGTGCAGAGTGATTTGAATGGATACACCAGCAAGAACTGTATCAGAGTACCTGCAAGCCAGGTACTCTCCTCTCCTCCCAGTGTCCCTTTTCCGGAGAGCCTTTCTCAGCTCCCATGTCTAGACAAGCTGCCTCTTCCTTGCACCCAGAGCCCAGCATCCTCATGGCAGAATCCCCATTCTGCTATACGGTACTATATATACTGTACAGATACTGTGATTGTATAAGGCAGTGGTTGGCAAACTGCGGTCCGCAAGGCACATGAGGATCTTTGGCCCCTTGAGTGTGGCCACGAAGTTTCAATCGCTCTGTATGTGCGCGCCCGCACGTGGTATTTTGTGGAAGAGCCACACTCAAGGGGCCGCAGTTTGCCAACCACTGGTATAAGGGCCTGGTGTGTTTCTCCCAGCAGACCACGGGCATGGATTAGAACTTCACAAGATAAAATGCAGTGGCTTAATGAAAAATAAAAGCTTATTTCCTCATTGTATTATTAGAAATATGAACCTGGCCTGTGTTGCTCAGTAGGTTGTGTGTCCTCCTGTGCACCAAGAGGTCACTGGTTTGATTCCTAGTCAGGGCACATGCCTGAGCTTCTATGCAATCCCCAATAAGGGGGGGAGGGTGCAAGAGGTGGGTGATTGATGTTTCTCTCTCATCAATGTTTCTATCTCTTCCTCTCCTTTCCTCTCTCTCTAAAATCAATTTTAAAAAACATACATATTTAAAGAAAAGAAATATGAAATATGATAGATTTACCAGTCAGGGATAGGTTGTGACTCTCCAAGGAAAGGTTGGAGTATCTGGCCAGCATTTCTTCTCGAGCAGGTAGACTTGTAAAAGGTGAAGCTGTGAGAAAAAGAACAGGTGATTATATATTCTTATCAAGATTAAGTGACTATCTAAAAGCCAGTTTCCAACAGCTAACAGCTAACAGGTAATATACTAGTCATGAAAAATAATGTTTTCAGGAAGATCTGATTAGCTTTATATGCTCCACAGATATTCAGAAATATATCGGGCTATTAAGTGTGATCAAATTTTCAATTGTTTCTACGGTCTTTATTTTTTTAAATGAAAAATACCTATTGATTTACACCAAGTGGCTTTAAAAATAACTTTAATTTTGTTATCCTACAATTTGTAGTTTCTTTATAAAATATAAATGAAGACATTGAGGGATTAGATAAGAGTGGAAGGAAAAAGCAAGGCATGCGTAGGCAGAGAAGATGAGAGAACAGGAAGCACAGGATGGCCCTAATCAGGGGCATTAGCAGGAACACAGAGAGCACTGAGCACGGGGACACTGGGCCCAGGGACAGAGGACGCTGCGATGTCCAGTGAGTCCAGCTCTCTTCCTCTCCAGCTGCGGCTCCAGTGCAGGGGCCTCCTCGAAATCAACTTTTCTCTGTCGTTTGCATCTTCTTTTGAAAACGTTTAGCACAGAAACAAGTTTTGCATTTCAGCCTCTCTCACTGGCCTGGAACTTCCTTTCTTACACTGGCTACTGTTTCTCTGACATCGGGGCCCCAGACCTGACCTCCTCTGAAAACTACTCCAACTCCATCAAACAACTCAGAGAAGAAAAGTAAAGGCTTATTATTGTCAGTTTGGCTGCATTCCTTAAACTTCATTCAGTTTACATTAACCCTGGCTGGTTTTGCTTCACTTTTTTGTCCTTCGCTCAAAATTAATTTCCAGTTATTTCCCTTTCTTCTCTGTATGAGAAATGGTATCAAAGTGAGCAGTTGCTTTTGTCGCTGCAGCTTGCACATAGCGTTTACAATATTGCCTAAGGAAAAAATATCTACCCAGCAGAACCTAATTCTCCTGGTACAGGGTGTTCTGAAGGCGTGGTCCCTTCTCCTGCAGCTTTGGAATGTGGAATGCACTTTCCCATCAAATCATCCTTAACGAATGAAAGCCATAAATCATACTCCCTTCTGGCAGTGATTATGTAGGAGAAGATACCTGAGGGTCTCACTGGGCTGCCAGAAATACAAGACCTTTCCTCCACCCACATTTAATATTCATCATTCTCTCTGCCTCTCAGACACACATGCGCACATCCTTGTTGCCCAAAGGCTGTCTTTTCCTAATGAAAATGCTTCTTTTCCTTCTTGGGCCTAGTGCACCAAGAGATGTTGGGAAAGAGAAAATATCTCAGGAAGGTCCAGGCAGATGGGGTGGGAAGGAAGGAACTGATCTACTCCAGCATCGGCCCCAGGGAGATTGCACAGCACGGGCTCTAGCTCTGCCTCCTTGCTTTCTCCACCCAGCCCAGGCAGAACAGTAGACAGGGGTTCACACACTCCTTATCCCTGAAGCAGCATCCTTTCCAGAAGGCCTGATGTCATTTATTATTATTATTATTATTATTATTATTATTATTATTATTATTATTTACCCTGTAAGCAACAATAAGTGACAGAAGCTGAAAAAAAATTGTTGTCATTCTTCTTGTTTGACGTAAATGACTGTAGCGAGCACCTGACACATGCTTGACGCTGATGAGCGTGAAGCTCAGTGAGCTGGGTTCCAAGAGGTTGCATGAATCATAGCAACATCAGTGTAGACCTCAGTGTGTGTCAGATTGTCATTAGGGCGTAAGACTAGCCCTCATTGGTAGTACTGACTGTAACCAGCCTGCATGTTTCATACAAGTGGGAGCTACAGAGTGGGAAGTCTGATCTACATCTTCAAGGGACTGTGGCGGTGCAGTGGCGGGGTTGGGGGGGAGGGCGTGGGAGGACTAACGATGAGGAGATAAGGAGATGAGCTCCGAGGCTGTGGTTCTCACCAGGACCTGGATGGAAGGGCTCACCTAGGTCCTGAGTTAGAACAAGGAGAGAGAGGAGTCTAGGCTTGGGCTGGGCAAAATCTAAGTGTAGAGAAGTTGAAGGAAGAGAAGGAAAAGGAAAAACCAAGCTTTGAGAATAGGAAAGTTTGGGTAGTTCCAGAATATACTAGCCATCCTGACCACTTCCAATTGCCAGATCATGTGACAAAAGTACAATCCGATGTCTATAAACCAGCTTTCACCTGCCTCCTGACGTCCTGTTCCCTTTAAAGCATTCATGTTGATCAGGCTTGAACAAGCCCCAAGTGCAAAAGAATATGCATGACTGTTGTGATTTTTGTCTTGGGGAAATCCCTTTAAGAGGCAACATATACAAACATCCCAAGTGCAAGAGCAGGGCCACCTGTAGAAGGTGTTAGACTAGTAAAATCAAGGAGCTCTTTGTTCAGCAGAGGTCTTTTTTAAGCAAAGCAGGGAGAACAGTAAACCTATTGCTTTCAGTTGGCAGGAAGCTGATTAGCAGATTCTGGTATTTGAAGGAAACTGGCAGGAAATGCAGGCAGACGTGGCTTAAAAACTTCCCTAAAAGGATTAGGTTGTCACAAAAAGAAATACAAAATGGAGAAGCAGGAATTCTGTATCCTAACCCAAGTTCCACTACTGACTTGTTACTTGGGGTTTCACTTCATGGAGAAAGAAGGGTGAGCAAAGTTATATAATATTGAGTGATGGTGCCAAGAACTTGCAAGCACTCCTCCAGTTATGATACGCTCCCATTTCCTAGTCATTGCTGGAAATTGTCCACGGGGCATTATTTCCCAGGTGGTAACAAAAATGCCAACATCTGATAGTTGTGGCAGAAATGAAAGGTTTGTTTTCCTTCCTCTGCAGGGGCAGTGGCTGGAGCTGTATCATTCCCATGATTGGCTCCATCTTTACACAGCCGTCTTCCCTCTGTGGTCTTTACACGGCCTTCTTCTCTCTGTGGCGGTGTCTCTGTATCCAAATCTCCCATCTCCCTCCTTTACAAAGACCACAGTCATAGGGTGAGGACTCATACTAATTCAGAGTGACCTCAATTTACCTCGATTACCTCTGCAAAGACCAGACTCTCAAATACGGTCCCCTTCACAGGTACCAAGGGTCAGGGCTTGACCATTTCTTTTTGTGGTACACGGCTTGCCCATTGCATCGGGATGCTGTTACAGGGACAGTCCCTCACAACAATTATCCAGTCCAAAATGCCAAGGCTGTGGAACCCTCACTTCCAAAAGGGTACATCCTCCACCCTGATTCTTCAACAGTGTGGTTTTCTGTCATCATCCATGGCCCTGTGGCCCTGAGTTCCTGTTCTGCATCGTTTAGATGCAGAGATTTTGCTAGTAAGTTGTGACATTTCTTGCAATCCTTCTTTGCCTTTTCTCCTCTCCTCAAAACTAAACATTCATTTAGAACTGGAACAGAAAGGGGCTGGTGCTTCTTGGTCTTCAAAGTAGTCCACCCCTAGCAGAACCTTTGTGAGGCCTGGCCATGCCCTCCTCCTCTCCAGCGGCAGCCTCCTCTACCCAACTGCACATGAGCCCTGCCCCCAGCAGCCAGGCCACAGCTGAGGGGCAGAGCCAAGCAGAGTGCAGGCAGCTCCCCACACCTCCCTCCAGAAAGGGTCTATTTTGGTGACCACTTAAGAAGAAGCCCCAATTGCTGGATGGAGTTTTGAAATGCAAAACAGGAAGCCGGCCCTGGCTACTAGCTAGCTCAGGCTCTTGGCTCCATCACAGAAGCACTTCAGGCTTCGAGATCAATCCAATATTACATCTAAATTCTCTTTCAGGATCTTGGGATTATCCTATATAATAAAAGTGTAGTATTCAAATTGTCCCCTCCACTGGGAGTTCATCCGGGCATTCGACCAGGGGGTGGAGCAGGTTGGGGGAAGGGAGGGAGGCCCCAGCCAGCATCCGCTAGGGACCCTACCAGTGCACAAATTTCATGCACTGGGCCTCTCATGTAATTATAAAGCTGTAAAAAAAAGATTTGATCTTGGGAGTAGGGATACATTAGTAATGACATGGACACAATAACTTTAAAAATGCCAGAAAAATAATTTTCAATTAAAAGAATAACACCATTTTTAAAGACAGCATCTATTCTTTCTATGGGAGCAATGCATTATTTGAGTCATTTTGTTATGTGTGAACAGTGACTATTATTAAAATGGAGAGTTTATTTTTAACAAAGCATTGTGAGGTTTTTCTTCTATATCATTGTGTGTGTCCTAAATTGTTTCTTGTTATGGTTCACATAATGTTATGAAATATGTGAGGCAGCTGTACAGAAGTAACTTCAATAGATGACAGTTTAGGACAAACTGCCTTAACACATAACCTGCTGCTGTTTGAGAACAAACACTCCTTTGGAAAATGTACCTAATTACATACACTTATGACCATTTCTCAATTATTCCCTATGGTTTAATGTTAAACTTTCTCAGAAAGAGCTGAAATTCTTTTGGCTTCTTTTCAAATAATCTGGAACTAACAGAGAAGTTTCAAGTGCAGAGTGAACATTTCCCCTGAACATTTGAAAACAAGTTGGTGAAACAATGGTGCCCTGATGGCCCATTCCCCTCTAAGACATTACTGCATATTTTCCACAGAGGATCTACCTCACATCTTCCCAATTCTGCTGTGAAAACAGAGAAACAAGCATGTGTGCACTCCCTCATGCCACACCTCATCTGAGTTTCAACAGAAGTCCTTTTGTTGAAATGTACTTTTTAACAAAAGGTTCCAGCTCAGCTGATGTGTTGCCATCAGTTGTCATGTCCTTCTGTTTTCCTTCACTTTGGACACTTCAGTCTCTCCTGACCTTTTACGACCTTGATGCTTGTGAGAGGAACAGGAGAGCTGCTTTGTAATGTGATTAGATTCAGAGGCAGCTTCTCTGGCAGGAATATCTCAGGGGTGACCGTGTTCTTCTCCTTGCATCCTGTCGGATGGCACGCCATTTTTACTTCTCTCTTTACTGATAATTTTCACTTTGATCATTTGATTAAAGCCGTATCTGGCAGGCTTCTCTACTATAAATGTATTTTTTCTCCTTTCATCAGTAAGCATTTTGTGTGATGTGACTTTGAAACTATGTAATATTCATCAAACTTTTACTTAATTCATTTAATTTATATCCGTATGTACTCATGAATACCCATATTATTCAATGGGCATTACTCAGTGGGTACTAATGGTACTAGTCCATTAGTATTACTATTTATTTTGATGCCCAGTTTGGCCCAGCTTTGTCCAGTGGGAGCCCCTTCCCTCTGGTCCTGTATCCTTTTGGCATGACCCATCATGCCTTGAGCACTTCATTGTTTCTGGCACAAGATGTTCCAGGCTCATCTTATATTTTCCCCACCCCAGTCCTGAAATCAGCCATTTCTCCAAGAAGCCCTAGCTACTGTTAGTAAAGAATGGTATTTCGACTCCAGTGCTAAGTATGGTTATCGCTATTGGGAAATCTCCACTCCATCTCAGAGGACAGAACTAAGAATACATGCATGGTCATTTATACACATGCATACTATAGGTATAAAGTGGATATAAAATATATCTGCATTTAAATACACAACATATGCATCATACCTAGAGTTATACACACATTCATATCTATGTATTTACTTATACAGATGTAGACATGAGTGAAATAGATGTTTAAAGTTATGAATTCATACTAATGCTACAAATTACAACCCAAGGTTCATTCTAGTTTCCTTTTTCTTTCTTAAAAATGTTTTATTCAATTTATTGGGGTGACATTGGTGAATAAAATTATGTACATTTCAACTGTACACTTCTATGATGAATGATCTGTATATTTCCTTCTCTTCTAGTGAAAAGTCTGGTCCTATTCTCCTTACTAGCTTTACTCATGTGATCCATCCATCCCCTACATGTAACTAATCTTCTACTACCACGCCAGGCCCCAAAGAGGTCCTGCCTGCTCTCCTGCCTCTTCACCTTCATCCCGATCAGGGCCAGAAACATGTGTCAGCTGGGCTTGCAAAAAGCCCTGGTCACTGCTCAGTTCCAGGCCATTCTCTGTGAGATCATCCACCCTACTGTGTTCAGACCCTAACACACCACCTGAGGCTGCTCTCCTACCTGGACACCATCCTGACTGGGCTAGGCCTCTAATTCCCTGATCTGGGCCCCTTTGGCTCCTACAGTCCAACAAGGGAGGATACTTTCTGCATTTCCCCTCTGCACAGCTACAGGAAGGGCAGCATTTTGGGAAGGGAAGGAAGAAGAGGATAGGAGGCGGGGCAGAAGACCAGGAAGAGGAAAAGACGACAGTTAAATTAATTCTTTAAAAAAGGTTGTGGTGCAGATTCCATTCTCGGTCAGGGCATATACCCAGGTTGCTGATTTGATCCATGGTTGGGGTAGGTATGGGAGGCAACAGATTGAAGTTTCTCTCTCATCTCTCTTTCACTTCCTCTCTCTAGAAATCTATAAACAGATCCTTGGGTGAGGATTTTAAAAAATGTTCATATAATGTTTAATGTGATGATAAATTTAGGGTCAACATTTTGATGCATCAGATACAACCCTGTTAAAGATATGATTCCAATTCACATGTTCCTTTAAACACTTTAAACACCTTGAAAGGTTAAAAACTGGTAAAGTTTTCTACACAGATACAGACTTACGCAATGTCAGCACATCTAGGTACTCGAATAATATTTATTCCAACAAATATTTACTACTAAGCAGTTGCTTGGGTTGGGGTGGGGGAGGGGAGCATATAGGAAGGAAGCAGGGGGTTGATGGAAGAAGCATATAGGCCATCTAACTCTTGAAGTTAAAAGTGATCATTTCAAATTACTCCCCTGAAAACATTTTTCAAAGGGTAAACAGGACCCATTCTCTTAATTTGTTCCATGTAATAGTAATAACAATGATTTCTGAATATTACTATTCAAATCATACTTCTCCCTTACAAAGGCATTTTACATTTCTTATTGAACTGAAACAGTCTACAAGTTAGGATGAATCCTTGTGCCTAACTTTATTCTAGGACTTGCACTGTGTCAGCAAGCTCAAGAGGAGCATCTAGATTCACACACTGTGCTCTCTGTTGGTGGTTCCAATCTTTCCTAGACACACCCAGTCACCCCAGAGCCACAACCGAGTCTCTGTTTAGGAAAACAAGCTTTGGAATTGGGCTGAACAATGCTAAGTTTCCTGCTCTACTACTTAATTAATTAAGTGTGCTTTGGCAATGATTTAACTTCACTAAGTTCCAATTTCCTCATCTCAAAGTCAGGGTCAATAAAAGCCAACACACAGTGTTATAAACTGCATAATGCAGTTATGCAAGGCACACAGTTGTTACACAGTTAATAGGAAAAAGTATAACCATTTTTAACATTAAAATTTAGCCAAAAGTCTTTGGTTTATAGAACAGCTGTACATAAGTAGTTCTAAGCATCTCGATTAAAAAAAAAAATGGCAGGAAACTTCACACTGTCCTTTAGCAAACAGGAAACTGAATCTCATCGAGATCAATGCAGAATCTATAAAACAAGATGAAGTTGCCTGACAACTTTTAATTCTTCCTTAAAATTAGATGCTAACTGCATGCCTTTTCTGTGGCATAATTTTGCCGTAAGAGAAGCTGAAAGGACAACATTGACACTGTACATACACAGATGTTTGCCATACATGCATACACTTTATTTGCTAATGTATTCCACGGTTGTTTTTTGCCTGCTTGTTTCTCTTTAGAAGTCCCCTCTGCATGTGAGGTTAAACCTGGGCTCCTTGGTGCCAAGAGAATAACTAACTGCCCAGCAGTGCACTCCTGAGGATAACATATCCCTGTAAAGCCCAGGGTTTCCACCTGCTCGGGATCACGTGATTAAATACATGGAGGAATTTAAAAACTCCAGGTGTCCAGGCTGAGTCCCAGGCCAACCGAATCCGAATGTTTATTTATTTATTTATTGGTTAATCCTCACATGAGGATATTTTCCATTGATTTTTCCATTGAGTGGAAAGGGGTGGGGGAGACAAAGAGAGAAACATTGATGTGAGAGAGACAGACATCTATTGGTTGTCTCAGGATCGAGGTTGCAACTGAGGTATGTGCCCCTGACCAGAATCGAACCCTGGACCCTTCAGTCTGTAGGCTGACACTCCACCACTGAGGCAAACTGGCTAGGCCTGAATCCGAATTTTTGAGGGCAGAATCCAGGGAGCACTTTTACCAATAAGTTCCCTGGAAATTCCAACAAACAGCCAAATCCCGCAGCAAAGTTCCAGGAGTAACCCAGTGTTCTGGGGTGAATGAAGGGTGATGCAGGGATGGAGAACCAAGGAAAGCTGGGGGGCGTGGGGGGGGGTGGTTAGGAGAGAGGCAGGGATGAAATAGCCTGGACAGTCCTTTATGCTTGGTGTGAATGGAAAAGAGATGCGGGGCAAGGACATTTCGAAACTGAAGCAGCCCAAAATGTTGTGTCCAAGTTGTGAACAACTGGGCCTTTGAAAGGACCTTTATTAAAAAAAAAAAAAAAAAAAAAAAAAAAAAAGAAGAATCATGTCCTTTGATTAACTTTCCATCTTCCAAGTATCTGATGAAAAATCTGCTATAAGCCCATAAAAATGAATTCCTACGGAAAGCTGAAAACTTGTGTAGCATAATACTCCGATTTCAGTGAACTGATGGGCAGTATTTGCCAGCTAGAGGGGTGGTCTGTTATCCTAAGTGGCCGCTAACACTGACACTTATAACAGGAGTGAGCGGGCATTAGAAAACAGGTTAGGTGGAATGCTTTTCAACTAAAAAGTAATTCTAAACAGGTGAAGCTAAAGATGGCAAATTTGGCCTTGGTTTTGATAATATTTTGCCCACAAATACCTCTTTCGATTTGTCTTTAACAAAATAACCAAACATAAAACTTCACTTTCAAAGACCATGGTGTCAAAGACAGTCTCCCTCTCCCCCTCTCGCCCTCTTCTCCTCTCTTCTTCTCTCCCCCTCCCCCTCCCTCCCTCCCTCTCAGTCGTGTGGCTTTGTTTGATTGTTTGGTTGTTGCTGCATTGCTGTTTCGCACCCTCAAAGCCAACCCGCCTGCTGGAAGAGAGTAGGTGCTATCTCCGCCTTACTATGCATTCAAGTGCAGGGAGTTGGCCTGGGTGAATGTGGCTTTCAGAATACAGACCGCACTTTCCCAGAAGCCAGTCCCTGCCTGTGCCTGCCCACCCGCCCTCTTCTCCGAAACATGGAGACACTGCCCTCCTCCCACCGCCCCCACTCGCAGGCGCTGTGGGTTCCAGATTCACGCCCTGGACGGGAGGTCCCCTACCCGCCCCCGTCCCCTCCTCCAGCTTAGATAACCCGCTTGGCCAATGGAAGGCGCGGCCCTCACTGTCCACCTGCATCCCCAGCATCCTCGCGCCCCTTCCCACCCAGTGCCCGGTGCGCGCACGGGCCATGCACACCTCCCCCGCCCCTTCCTGCGCCCCCGCCCCTCCCGGTCCTGCACCCCCTTTCCGCGCCCTCCGCCCCTCCCGGTCCTGCACCCCTCACACCTGGGGGATGGTCATCCGCGGAGCTCGGGCACCCCGCCGCCAGGAGGCACAGGAGGAGCAGCGGCTGGGGCGGCGCCCTGGGCCCCGGCAGGCCGGGGAGGGCGCACATGGTGCCCCGGGGTCTCCCTCGGTCCTCGCCAAGGCAGGTCCCTTGGCGGCCGTAGGTGCCCGGAGCACCTGCGCACACTCGCCAGTGGCCCAGCGCCCAACGCCAGTCCGGGGGCAGGAAGCGCAAGAAAAGGCGGAGTGGGAGGGGCCGGCCCGGTGCCCTGCCCAGTGCCCTGCCCTCCTCCCCTCCCCCGAGGGCCTCTCACCAGGCCCGCAGATCCATAACTGCGCAGGGCCTCCATCTACATGTGACTCACAGCCCGCAGCCCGATTGCAGCAGGCGCACTCGGATGTGCGGTGGCCACTGCCCAGTGCAGCCCGGCCAGCCTCTACCCTGTGGGACCTGGCAGGTCTGGGAGGGGGAGCGAACTTGCTCAAGATGTGGGGCAGGGGATGTCCGGACCCATCTCCTGGGGGAGACGTTGAAATTATGTATGTACATATACGCATGTATATATGCCTGTATACGTATGTGTAGTATATGTAATATTATAGTGTAATATATTCCTTATAATGTCTGCAGACTATTTGCACTTCATTTGAAGTAGGTTCCCGTGTTTACATCCATCGATGGGACGGATGAGAGTGTGAGAACACCGTTCTGCCCCCCGCACCTGTGGGGTATTAGGGGGACTTAGGTCTGTGCTGGGAGAGGCACAGCCAGCTGCCTGCGTCCTGGACTCCTCTTTCTTTGCTCGGAGCACCAGTGGCACACAGCCGCCCCTCCAGGCCCTGGAGGCTTGACGGTTCTCTCCAGAGGGCGTGCCAAGGCCCTAACGTGTGTCTGTTTTTCTTTTCCTTTTGTTTGCCAAGCCTAGCAGATTTGAGGAGCCACCCAGAGCTCTGGAAACAAAAACTTCTGAAAATCCCTCCTGTAACCCATGCAGAGCCGTGGGCCTGCTTGGGACCGGACCCGGTTAGGATGCTATTTACTCAGCAAGGCTGGAGCTTGGAATTTTCAGTGCTCTCGACCAGATAAAAGGAAACAACTAAACCCTAGGGCTTTAGAGAGGAGGAATCTCCATTATAATATAAAAGACGAATAAGACCTGATGGTTTCCCAGGCTTCTCTAACATTAAAATATGTGGGTTTTGCCCTAGCTGGTTTGGCTCAGTGGATAGAGTGTTGGCCTCCAGGGGGTCCCGGGTTCGATTCCAGTCAAGGGCACATGCCCACGTTGCTGGCTTGATCCCCAATAGGGGGCATGCAGGAGACAGCCAATCAATGATTTTCTCTCATCATTGAAGTTTCTATCTCTCTCCCCCTTTCCCTTCCTCCCTGAAATCAATTAAAAAAAAAAAGATGTCTTATTGTTTTGTTGTTGTTGCTGTTGTTTTTAGTATATCTCATGTGTTTTGTTTTCTCCTCCTTTGTTTTTGGACGTCAGGTTTCATATTAAAAATTCAAAATATATCTGTGTCCAAAAAATAGAGGGTTAGATGAAAATGTTATATATACATTTTAAAACTTGACATGCTAAACCAGAGCTGTGCTCACTTCAGGCAGGAGTGCTTAATTTTTAATTGGTGGGTGTTGCTAAGAGCGTCTCCTGTTTCTGGTATAATATTATATAGGCAAAACCGGGAGGAAGAATATACATTGTTTAAATTGGTGTTGAGAGAATATGAGCAATACGGTTCATTAACCAATATTAAATGTCTACCACGTGCCAGGTGGTGTTCAAAGGAGGCAAGTAGGCTATGTGTACTATGTTGAGTGCTCTCTCTCTCTCTCTCTCTCTCTCTCTCTCTCTCTCTCTCACACTCACACACACACACACACACACACACACACACACACAGTGAATATTAATCTTGAGAGCTGTTGACCTTCAATCTACAAATCTAAGACAGCCTCTTCTCAGCCAGAAGTTATGGTTCTAAGGACTGAGCCTTTCTGACAAAGCCTTATGAGAGACCCGGAAGGAGTATATGGCTAACAGGACGGCCCTCTCACCTCGGCCCACTTTCTGAACCCGAAGTGCCAGGTCATGGGCTGCTGAGCCAGGGCCCGTGCTGCTGCCCCGCATCCGTCACAGCACTGACTGAGCGCTCCCATCACCTTCGGAGAGTCAGTGAGCTCTGACCGACCTTCCCCAGTTAGTCCTATAATATCCGTAAGCTCAAACTCACCTTTTTTCAAATAAGCTGACTTCATGTAAAAGAAAATTATGTCTTCAGTTGAATTAGCCTGTTTATGAACAGGAAGGAGTGACTTGCCCAAGTTGAGGCTAATTCCCACTGTCACTTTTTTTTTTTTTAAATATATTTTATTGATTTTTCACAGAGAGGAAGGGAGAGAGATAGAAAGAGTTAGAAACATCGATGAGAGAGAAACATCGATCAGCTGCCTCCTGCACATCCCCCACCGGGGATGTGCCCACAACCCAGGTACATGCCCCCGACCGGAATCGAACCCGGGACCTCTCAGTCCGCAGGCCGACGCTCTATCCACTGAGCCAAACCGGTTTCGGCCCCACTGTCACTTTTGTTGTTAGAGCAAAACAAGTTGAAATAGAATTCCTGTCTTGCTAAGCAGTTGAAAGTCTTGCTCCCCCTGTTACTGGTTAAATTTAGATATTGATTGATATGTGCGATCTTATTCTCACTCTCTTTTTTCAAACGCTCAATACCCTTTCAAACCATCTTTCCCTGTGCGGTTTTTTTTCTGACCTTTCTGGTCCAAGTTGACCTTTCCCTCCATGGTGAACTAAACATAGCCATGAACGCCTTGACCCTCTCCTCATCGCGGACTGCGGAGGAAGAAGGAGGGTCCGGTTTCTTCTGTGCAGGTGCGTGGGTTCTGTGACCTATTGGATATTGCCTAGGTAACTAACCCTGTGTGAGTTTCCGGATCCAGACCACAAGAGTGTCTACTTCCTTTCCCCTCACTCTTACCCGGCAGCTGTCAGGAAAGAAATGAGAGTACCCTGCCATGAGAAGCTCAAACCACATGCAGGGCCAGGACCGTGAGATGTGGGGAAAGAGGCTAACCGAGGCAGAACAAGGTGCTAGAATTCAGCCGTGGGCAAACTACGGCCCGCGGGCCGGATCCGGCCTGTTTGAAATGAATAAAACTAAAAAAAAAAAGACCATACCCTTTTATGTAATGATGTTTACTTTGAATTTATATTAGTTCACACAAACATTCCATCCATGCTTTTGTTCCGGCCCTCCGGTCCAGTTTAAGAACCCATTGTGGCCCTCGAGTCAAAAAGTTTGCCCACCCCTGTCAGCTAGATTCATGTGGCGCCCTTCCGGAAGCCTGCAGACAAGGCCGGGCCCAGCTGGGAACCTGGCAGGGTCCAGGTGATGGTCCTTAGGGTGGGAGATTGCCTGACTGCACCCCTCCTGAACCCCTGGCCCACTCAGTTGTGAGGGGTAACAGCACCACTGTTGTGTTAAGCCACTACATTTGGGGGTAGTTTAAGTTACCATAAAAATATAACCCAAGCAGCCTCCTCTGAACTCCCTAGGATTAATTTGACAATTAATAATTAATTTATAGGCTTGTAACTTGGCCTTCTTTCTTGGCTTACATTTCCATTTAAATATTTTATTGGTGTTCAACTTCTGTGTTTCTATTGGCTTTCTGAACTACATTACTCTTTTCAGTACCTGCAAATATTCTATAACTCTTTCTATTTCCTGCAGTGTCTCAACATAGTACTTTTAGTGGGCTCTGTGTTTTTAAAAATATTTTTATTAAATTTATTGGAGTTACATTGGTTATAAAATTATATAGGCTTCAAGTATACAATTCTATAAGATATCATCTGTATGTTGTATTGTGTTCACCACCCTAAGTCAAGTCTTCTTCCATCACCATTTATTCCCCCTTTATGATCTTCTACTTGCCCCCACCCTCCTTTCCTTCTGGTTGTTTTTACTTAGAAAATTAGTGTAAGGAAAATCTTTTTTTAAAAAATAAACTCGTGTTTATAAAATAATACCATAGAATTTTAATTTATTTTCTTTTAAGATGCATGCTATCATTGAATAAAAAGTATGTTACAGACAGGTTCCTGGAAAGGTGTGAAAGTGAGATTGAGAATGGAGATGGAGGTTACCTCTTATTGGAAATAATATGTCATTTAAAAATTATTGGAGAAAAGCATTATGTCAGACAGTAATATATAAAGTGCTAGAAATAAAGGTGAGAACTTTCTACTGATGATTAGAACAAAGAAAATGCCAACGGTACAAATGTATGTTATGGGATATATAGTAGGCAAAATTCTGCACTGACCCCAAGTTTCCCGCCCCTCTGGTCACACCCCCTGGTTTCCGTGAATGTGGGCAGGCTTGTGAATAAGCTGGCATAGTCACTACCTCCATTAGGTTACATTTGATGAGACTCCATTTAGCAACCTGCAGGGAAACATTCCTGGTGAGAAAGAGGCCCTCATGCTTGTTTGGAAGACACAAACAGCCACGTTGTGAACTGTCTGTGGAGAGGAACAGCTTCTGGGAACTGAGCACATCAGTCCTGCAACCCCAAGGAACTGAATTCTGCCAACAACCAGTGAGCTTGGAAGTAGCCCCACAGCCTCAGATGCAGCCCCAGCCAACATCTTGATTGCAGCCTAGTGAGACCCAGGAGTTCTGACCCAGGGAATCTGTGAGATCACAAATTTATATTGAACAGCTAAGTTTGTGGGGATTTGTTGTGCAGCAATAGAAAACTAATACTGGGGGTCATCAGATGTGATCCTAATCACATTGTAAGAAAACAATGCTGTACTTGAACGAGGTCAGGAGTGGACATGGAAGGAAAAAGAATAAACTGCTTTAGTCACCTCTGGATAATAAAAAGAATGGATGACAAACTCCAGAGCTACGTGGAAGGTTGTTGTATTTCTCAATTGGGACCTGTGGCCAACTGACACTCATTTGCTCTCCTTCTCTGGAAGATATACAATGACATTTTTAATTAAGTAAGTTATTTCAGCAACGTATGCAGATCCCTTGATCTCAAGGATGGAAGTCCTCTACCACACCCTAGGTCACAGTGGTTCTCAACCTGTGGGTCGCGACCCCTTTGGCGGTCGAATGACCCTTTCACAGGGGTCGCCTAAGACCATCCTGCATATCAGAAATTTACATTATGATTCATAACAGTAGCAA